CGTACAGCGTAGGTGTCAGTAAAATGCATCTCACAATTGTGGCGATGCTTAAACATTGAGATTCTCCGTCCATTTCCATCTTAAATTTTTAGGTTTTGCAGATGCAGAGCATAGAGATACACACGAAAGCTGGTATTAGATGGTTGGAGGCAGTCGGCCACAGGAAGCCTTGGACCTAAGTTTCGTGCTAGTTAGCACTCATCAGCAAGGCGTATCTGCAACATTGAAGGAACCTATGTTCCTTCTGAGATTCGAACCCGCGTCACCCAGTGCTGCAGTCAGAGACGTTACCACTGAGCTATTCAGGCTCGCGACTGACCACCTGTAGGACTGTATTGGATATTTTTGATTGCACACTAGTCAGTAACTAGTGTAATGTGTCTAGTCCTATCTTCGGTGCAGACTGAATTCTATCAGTCATGTTTGCAATGTGGCCACCATGCTAGGTGGCTCGCCATTACAGGGGTTCGAATCTCAGAAGGGACATCAGTTCCTTCAAGGTTGCAGATACGCCTTGCTGATGAGTGCCAGCTAGCACGAAACCTAGGTCCAAGGCTTCCTGCCGATTGCCTCCAACCATCTAATACCACCAATTCACAGTGCACCGTAATGGCGAGCCACCTAGCATGGTGGCCACATTGCAAACATGACTGATAGAATTCAGTTTGCACCGAAGATAGGACTAGACACATTACACTAGTTACCGACTAGTGTCGAATCAAAAACACACGAAAGCTTTATTTATCTGATCTTTAATGCTTAAAATATCTTGGTTATGGCTGTTCTGATGACTTCAAATGCTACAACCATTTCTATATTTTGGTACATGGTTAGATATTTCACTTGTTGCGCCATCAAGACTGATACAACCACTATTAGGATCAACCACTTAACTGATTCAATTATCAGACAGTTGAGGCTTAAGTTAATTAATTCATTTAAAATTAGCTTCCGTTAAGAAGACAAAACAATCTGAGAACCATTAAAATCTTAAGAGCACAGGTCAGTTGTTTTGCAGGTGGAGTTATATTGTGATGAATCACTATGAGCTTGAACTCCTGGTTCGCTGCATTTTGACCGCATGACTGGTAGACAGAGTGCTTACTTCGTAACCTGATTATTCTTTGCTCAATGGTTGGTTTTCTGCTGAAAAGCTTTAAAATTAAGCTAAACTAAATAATTCTGCTGAAGAAACTGTGGCTTACACAGCGAAACGTTCAGAAAAATCTTGTTTTGATTCTTTCTTAAACACGCTGGGATTATTTTAAATAATTTTGAATAAACAGACACCTGGTTTTAATTATTTTTCAATGATTTTCTATTCTATTCCATCTTATGTTTCATATATTACAAAGGATATTGTGCTAGTGTATTTGTGATTTGTGAGAACAAGGCTTATTTCATTATTTGAATAGACTGTGTCATTACTGTTTTTTTACACTTGTAAGAAGCAAATAGATTTTGTATTGCCTTCAATAAGCGAATCATACTGAGATGCAACCTTATTTAGACGAAGTTGTATTTATTCAGTTGATCTGCTTCTACCGCAATGATCAATCATTGTTTGGTATTGTGACTAAGTTACCTAAATTCTAGTATTATTATTATTATTATTGTTCCCTTGGGTTCCTAGTGGAACATAGGGCTTCAACTACACGTCTCCACTTGCTTCTGTCTTCTGCTGTACTTTTCACCTGCATCCATGTTATTCCACACTGTTTCAATTCCTTTTCACACGATCTCCTCCATGTCACCCTTGGACGTCCCACTCGCCGATTTCCTTTCGGGTTCCACTCGAGCGTTGGCCTGACGCGCGATGTCACCCAACGGTCTCCTCAGCGAGTGTCTAATCCATCTCCACTTTCTCTTGCATATTTGTTGAGCGATTGGCTCTTGTTTTGTTTTTTCCCATAGTTTCTTGTTGGTGATTCTTTCCGGCCGGCCATCTGATCTTCAGTATAGAACGAAGACAGCTGTTGATAAAGGTCTGCAACAGGCTGTTAGAAATATTCTTTGTGACCCACTGGCCAAGTTTCTGATCCGTATAGAAGAACTGACTATGACGTTTGTATTGAAAATCCGAATTTTGTTGTTGATGCTGAATGACGAAGATTTCCAGATTGGTTTCAGGTTGATGAATGTGTTTCTTGCCTTCCCGATTCTCGATTTGACATCCTCGTCCGTTCCTCCTGTAGTTGAGACAAGTGAAAGAAGTAACCTCTTTCAAATCCCTCCCGTTGATGGTGATTGGCGCTGGATGTTGCTGCTGCTGCTGTTGTTGTTGTTGGCTGGTTATTTTCATAACCTCTGTCTTGTCTATGTTCACCTGGAGTCCTGTCTTTGCTGCCTGCTTCTTCGACCAGTTTGTCGGTTTTCGCTTGTAAGTCTTCGATTTTGTGTGACATCAAACATAAATCATCCACACACGAAATCCAGGTCTTCTAGGTTCTCCACGTCGGTCCAGGATATCCCTGTCTTCTCGTTTCCCACTGTCTGACGCATAATCCAGTCCACCACAATTAGGAATATCATTGGTGATAATAAGCACCCTTGTCTGACTCCTGTGTTTACTCCAAACGCCTCGCTGAGTTTTCTGTTGTGGATCACTTGACATGTGCCGTTGTCGTACAGCTGTTGAATAAGGTTGATGAATACTTGGGGTACGCCGTAGTACTCGAGTAGTTTCCAAATTACTTCGCGGTCAACGCTGTCGAAGGCCTTCTCAAAGTCTATGAAGGAAGTTGAGGTAGAGGTTTGATTGCCATTCCATCAAACCTAGTAGTAGTAGTTTAAGTTTTTTATCTGAATGTGTATCCGTGTTTTTCAAGAACATTTCAATCAAAAAATGGTATAACGTTTTATTTGACTATCAATTTGTCTTCATAAAAAGAGTTGCTTATTAATTTACTATTGCTTCACTTTAACTAATCTATTCAATGCTTGCAGAATTCACACTAGAACGTGTAGGAAAAAGAAACTACTTTATAATCATAATTACTTATTACTTTGTTTCATGAAAGTAATCACTAGTTTTTTTCATTGAAAAACTGATTAATAATGATAATTCATTTTTTAAGAAGTAATTTTTTCTTTCTATAAACAAATTACTTTTTCCTCATTACAAAAAAAGTTGTGTGAGTGACTTGATATGATTATGAGTGGCAATAGTTTGTGCTCGAAACGTCATCAGTTAATATTACTGTATAACAACACTGTGTGATTTATCAAAATAAAATCTTATCTATAATGGAGTTATACTCTACCACAGTGCCCAAGTTTTATACTTATAGCAATAATTTTTTTAGCTTGAAGTAATTTGGTGGATGAGAACACTATCACTCACTCCAGATGATGAGCCCCAAATAGGACGAAGCACGCATCCAGGATTCAAAGGCCAGTCACCACCCACAAAATTATTATTATTATTTCCTTTAGTTCCTAGGGGAAAATAGGGCTTCAGCCGCGCGTCTCCATTGCGTTCGGTTCTCTGCTAGAGTCTTCACCTGACTCCACGTCTACCCACATGCTTTCATTTCCTCTTCACATAACCTCCTCCAAGTCACCCTTGCACTGACGACCAACTCGCCGCTTCCCTTTCGGGTTCCACTCGAGCAATGGCTTGTCTAGTGATGTCACTTGATGGTTTGTTTCCTCAGAGTATGGCCAATCCATCTCCATTTCTTCCTGCCTATTTGTTGCACAATCGGTTTCTAGTTGGTTTGCTCCCAGAGATCCCTGTTGCTGATCTTTTCTGGCCATCTGATCTTGAGTATTGAGTGAAGACAACTGTTGATAAAGGTCTGTAGTTTGTTTGAGATGCTCTTTATGACGCGCCAAGTCTCTGATCCGTATAGTGAGTAGCACTGACTGAATTAACATTGGAGTTGAAAATCCGGACCTCATTTTCATGCTGAGTGCTGTTGAACTCCACACAGACTTGAGTGTAATAAAAGCTTGTGTGGCTTTCTCGATCCTCACTTTGATATCCTCTTCAGTTCCGCCTGTAGTTGAAACGATGCTTCTGAGGTAGCTAGGTAAATGAGGTTGCTTCTTTCAGGTTCCTCCCATTTATCCTTATTGTTGTCTGTTGTTGCTGCTGCTGTTGATGTTGTTTTCTCTGTTTTCTCTCACCCACCAAATTACTTCAAGTTAAATCCTCAGACATCGTCGAAGCATCCACACAAGGAGCCGATATGTCAACAGAGGTTGAACACTTCGGTCCAATCAATCAACGGCAAAGTCCAAGTTGAATTTTTTTTATTTTACACAAAGTCAATTTTGCATGTAATCAGACGATCACATTTTGAAGATAGTGTCGTATGGTGAATAAAGTCTCTAAAATATGATAATAGACAATTTCTATATTCTTCACTTTCAGTTGCTTTCCTTTAACTTTGCTTAGTTAAAAATACTTAATTTTGAATTGATACAATAGATAGTAAATTATAAAATGGAAGTTTTCTTTTCAAATTCTGCCCCGGCAGAATGCTCGCTAGCCATGCACGTAGTTAGAGTTACCGTAATGATCTCCTAGCCGGAAGTAAGCCTGGTGAAAGAGAAACGGGCGTCAATCTTATCTAGTGAAAGCATCACAAGTGCTACTGAAACTTCAAAGCTTGAAGCTGTGTGTCCCTCTGTGAATGAAAAAGGAACGTGAAAAAAATACCACTCTTCAAACTTGATTTATCTTTTCTAATGATTATTTCCGCATAACTAGACAGTGAATTGTTTCCCCATTGATATTCAAACTTTCAGCGACAATTTGAATGCGGGAACCATTCATTCAGTGGGTGCATGGTTGGCGCCTCACTCTAACTACTTCAGTCTGTGAGGTTGGGTAGTATCGGCGTCCTTTTCATCACAATAATTATGGCTCATACACTTGAGAATTTGAATTGCTTTGCATTCTCAAAGAAAGCAAAAGAAACATTATTTATTATGTTATGTTATTATACTGTATTAATTTGTTCCATTCATTTTCTCTTTTAATATATATATAGTTATATTCCGGATTTGGATAACCTTCCTATATATATCACTAAATTGGCTACACAAGTTAGCTGGTCAATAGAATCCGTCTGTTTTGAAAACATTTGTCGTATTACAGCTGAATACTATTCAGTATCACGTAGTTTATTTGCTAAAGCCTTGTCATCAAATGATAATTCTTCAACAACTCATGAAGGGGATAAAGAGAATTCCACAGCACAATCACCTCGTGAATGGATGATAAAGCATATACTTTGGCCTGTGTTAACTTCATCATTTCTGCCGAGTCGTAGATATCCAAATTTTGATTCGAATATGCCAGAGACAGATGGAAGAGTGTTTTCCTTACAGTCTGCTTTTATTCGTCTCACATCACTTACAGAGTTATATAAAGTGTTTGAACGTTGTTAAATTACTTCACACTTGTTACGGCTGCTTATTTTTGATAATAAAAAGATTTGCTTTGATAATTATAATGTTTTGCTAAGAAAAAAAACACGATAAATTCGACTTTTCTTTCTATTGATAAACGAGTGCAGAATGCGTTGATTATGCATAAAGTCTTTAGTTAATTAGTTAGAATATAAAAATATCTTGATTTCCACTGACGACCTTTACATCTACACTGTCGTCACAGAGAACACAATTATGTTATCAGCGCACTCCACAGTCTTTTCGGGGAACCTGTTTGCATAATTATCAGATAAGAGTAATGGAGTAAAAATTCAAAATGACATTCAAATTCCCAACGATATTTATACTCCTGTATATTTCATGCTTCGTAGTTAAATTTGCCTATCATTAAAAGGACCTACCTCAAAACACCTGACTCAGTGATACCATGCGTATGAAGTTATACGAGGAACAGTTTACAAAATTTTACGAAGAATACTTTGTCTGAAAATATCATTTCGTTAACAGAATCATCCCAGTAGTCCGTTTCACTTAACTAGTATTCACTTACCAACAAAATAGGAACACTTAATTCTTTGACTCCAGTAGAAAATGCTGAAATAATAGTGGAATGAGAACTCGATTCAAGAGATCAGATTCAAGTAGATAGAAGAACCCATTATGTAATCAAAATATTTTGGTTAAAAATGGCACGTCTTTTTAAATAACAATTCATTAGTAGTGAACTACCAACATAGAACAGTTGGTCTTTCCTATTAAGTTGCATTCAAACCTAAATCACAATTAAAAGGGAGGAAAACGTAGAAGTAAATCTTAAATGAATTATACCTGTGAAGAGAGAATTTTTTAACGGATCAGTTATTACTAACTTAGAGAAAGAGAGGGAGATTGGAGGGTAATTATTTGATACTGTAGTGAGAGCTGTCTGCTACCCAAAATTGTAGACAACAATTTACGTCAATGTTCACGTCCAGAATAAGGGTCATGACAAAAAAAATATCAAAGCTTTACCTTGAGAAAATCACCAGCCAATCACAGCGGAGTTAAAGTGTGAAAATATGATTCGCAGATATATGGCTTGATTTTCTGAGAAACGGCCACAAAGAGATAACAGAATAACCTTCAGCAAGAAAACAACCAATCAGAAGAGGTTGCTTCTCCGCTAACAATAACGCTAATAATAATGCACATAAAAATCTATAAATATCTCCTGCTTTTCTCAATAAACGATCTGCTGCCTGGTCCTTATCTTCTGTTGTTACAATACAACCATAGTAATGAAACAATTAGGGTTATTAACAACATCAATGTCTAAATAACATAGAATCAATAATATGGATAGATTACAGTTCAATGGTATCTATAAGTGTGATAATATGCATCAACTTAACAATACATTGAATATCAGACAAATTATTATTATTATTGTTCCCTTGGGTTCCTAGTGGAACATAGGGCTTCAACTGCACGTCTCCACTTGCTTCTGTCTTGTGCTGTACTTTTCACTTGCATCCTATGTTATTCCATACTGTTTCATCTCCTCCTCACACGATCTCCTCCATGTCACCCTTGGACGTCCCACTCGCCGCTTCCCTTTCGGGTTCCACTCGAGGGCCTGACGCGCGATGTCACTCAACGGCCTCCTCAGCCAGTGAGTGTCCAATCCATCTCCACTTCCTCCTACATATTTGTTGGGCGATGTTCTGTTTCGTTTGTTCCCATAGCTTCTTGTTTGTGATTCTTTCCGGCCATCTAATCTTCAGTATGGAGCGAAGACAGTTGTTGATAAAGGTCTGCAACAGGCTGTTGGAAATATTCTTGGTGACCCGCCAAGTTTCTGATCCGTAAAGCAAAATTGACTTGACGTTTGTATTGAAAATCCGAATTTTGTTGTTGATGGTGAGTGACGAAGATTTCCAGATTGGTTTCAGGTTGATGAATGTGTTTCTCGCCTTTCCGATACTCGATTTGATATCCTCGTCCGTTCCTCCTGTGGTTGAGACAATGCTCCCTAGATAAGTGAATGAAGTAACCTCTTTCAAATCCCTCCCGTTGATGGTGATTGGCGGTGGATGTTGCTGCTGCTGTTGTTGTTGTTGGTTGGTTATTTTCATAACCTCCGTCTTGTCTATGTTCACCTGGAGTCCTGTCTTCTCTGGCTGCTTCTTCGACCAGTTTGTCGGTTTTTGCTTGTGAGTCTTCGATTTTGTGTGACATCAAACATAAATCATCCACGCGCGAAATCCAGGTCTTCTAGGTTCTTCACGTCGGTCCAGGATATCCCTGTCTTCTCGTTTCCATGCACTGTCTGACGCATAATCCAGTCCACCACAATTAGGAATATCATTGGTGATAATAAGCACCCTTGTCTGACTCCTGTGTTCACTCCAAACGCCTCGCTGAGTTTTCCGTTGTGGATCACTTAACATGTGCCGTTGTCGTACAGTTGTTGAATAAGGTTGACGAATATTTGGGGTACGCCGTAGTACTCGAGTAGTTTCCAAATTACTTCTCGGTCAACACTGTCTGTCGAAGGCCTTCTCAAAGTCTATAAAGTTGAGGTAGAGATTTGATTGCCATTCCATGCTTTGTTCGATGATAATGCGTAGAGTTGCAATTTGGTCAGAACATGATTTGCCTTTCCTGAATCCAGCTTGTTCTGGTCGGAGTTCTGTATCCAGTGCGTCCTTGATTCTCTCCAGGATGATGCGACTCAGGATTTTACTTGGCGTCGACAGGAGCATGATTCCTCGCCAGTTCTTGCAGAGTCCCAGGTCGCCCTTCTTTGGTAGTTTCACCAGGTAACCTTTCCTCCAGTCAGTAGGCACCTTTCCCTCTTTCCAGATCTTTTGCAATAATGGAGTCAGCATATCTGTTGTCGTTTCTGGGTCCGCTTTCAGTGCTTCCGGGGGTATTCCATCTGGTCCAGCTGCTTTTCCAGCTTTCACAAGCTTGATTGCATTCATGACTTCAGCTTTCGTTGGAGGATTGGTGTCAACTTGCACTTGTGTACGTGCTGTTGTTGGTATTACTGGACGGGTTGTAGGTGGTGGTCGATTCAAGAGTCCTTTGAAGTGGACCGCCCATTGTTTAATCTGTCTTTCTTCTTCGGTAATTGGGTTCCCTTGGCTGTCTTTTATAGGTTTCACTTGTGTTGATCTCTTCCCGGATAGAGACTTGGTTATCTGATATAGTGTCCTCAGGTCCCTTTTGCCTGCTGCCTTCTCAGCTTCAGTAGCCAGGTTGTCGTAGAATTGTCTTTTGTCCTTCCTGGCACTCTTCTTCACTTCATTGTCCAGTGCTGTGTAAGTTGAGTTCAGCGTCTCTTTCTCTTGTCCATCTTTGCATTGAATCATTTTTTCTTTCACCTTTCTCCTCTCCTCTATTAGCTTCCAAGTGTCTGTTGAGAGCCATTCCTTGTCTTGTTTCTTCTTTCTTCCTAAAACCGTTGAGCACGTTTCGTTGAAAATTACCTTCAGAGAGTTCCAATGGTCTTCCACGGATGATTCCTCAGTGGTGCCACGTAGTGTTTCCTGCTTTGCTCTGACAGTTGCAGTGAAAATGTCCTGTGTGATTGTGTCCTTCAGTTTTTGCGTGTTGAACTTGCATTGTGGCCTATCCCCAGCTATCCTCGAGGCTTTCAGCTTCACCTTGAAAGTCCCTTGTACTAGATAGTGGTCTGAACCCACATCTGCTCCTCTCCTCGATCTTGTGTCCAGTAGGCTCCGTCTCCACTTCCTTGAGATTGAAATGAAGTCTATCTGGTTTTTGGTGTGTCCATCTGGTGAAATCCATGTTGCCTTGTGTATATCCTTGTGTTTGAATACACTGCTACCAATCACCAAATCATTGAAAGCGCAGAAGTCTGAGAAGACTTCACCATTTTCGTTCATTTCACCGAGGGCCTCACGACCCATGGTGAGTTCTCTTCCTGTATTGTCTCCTCCCAGTTTCGCATTCATGTCACCCATCAGGATTTTGATATCGCTCTTTGGGACGTTGTCCATTACTGTTTGTAGTTGACTGTAGAAATCCTCCTTCTTCTCATGTTCTGAGGCGTTTGTAGGCGCGTAGCACTGAATGATTGTAACCTTTTTTCCTTTTGAGTTGAACCTGGCTGTCATTATCCTGGAGGAGATTGGTTCCCACTGCATGAGAGCTTTAGCCGCTGTTGGTGACATCATGATGGCTACTCCCTCAGTGTGCTCGTGATTGTCCTCTGGGTGACCGGAGTAGATTATTGTCTCTCCAGTTGATAGTTGGCTCCTTCCACATCCGTTCCATCTGCTCTCGCAGATTCCCAACACTTCTATTTTATATCTCCTCATTTCTGCGGCTACCTGAGCAGCCTTCCCAGCTTCGTACATTGTACGAACATTCCACGTCCCCATCCTTATTTTCGCTTTCATCGAAAGAAGGCACATCGGCTGACTGGCTTCCCGAAGGCTTTCACCAGCCCGCGTCATTTCACTTCCCCGATTCCAGCGAAAAATAAGGTCACTATTTGTAATTTTAGAATTTTGAATATATTTGTGCATTGAAGTTTTAGTAGCAATTTGGTTAAGTTTTGGGGGTGGAGTTGCTAGCACCACGCCCCAACCCTCCCTCTTTATCCGGGCTTGGGACCGGCTAGATTACTAGTGACCTAGTAATCTAGGCGAGGTTATCAGACAAATTAAGAAAGATAATAATACAAATTCATGAATTTATATGCTCCACAGATGGCCAGCGTAGTATTAGTGGCTGAACCTGTTTCTTCTGCACACAGAACACCGGTCTTTTTAGGCGGATCACAACAGCCTCTGCTGTTTGGAGTATGCGATACCTGGATGCTTTTGGCAACCTATTTGTTACCTGATAGATGATGGAAAAGGATTCTACAATGCTAGCTTTGTGGTCCGTTTGAACCAGGTGGTTGTCACTACACTTGTATTTAACCACGCTAGTTGGTTTAGTCTATTCGAACTTCTTAACTTTAATATTATTCCCATGTCAGGTATTCCTCAGAGACCAACAAAGAGAAGGTAGTCAGTGTAACATAAGCAAATCAAGGAAA